TCACACGAACCTTGGTTACCTGGGAGTCATAAAAAGAAAAGGACTAGTAGACTAGTTAGTTTATCACACGAACCTTTGTTACCTGGGAGTCATAAAAAGAAAAGGACTAGTAGACTAGTTAGTTTATCACACGAATTTTTGTTACCTGAGAGTCATAAAAAGAAAAGGACTAGTAGACTAGTTAGTTTTTCACACGAACCTTGGTTACTGAACTGAGTTGCCCAATGATAATTGAACATATAAGCCTCGTAATCAATAGATTGATCATTCACATGTAAGCCAGTTTTAATCCATAAATGGTTGGAGAATATATAACAAATAGTGCAATATAGCCTTTCTACATCTTCTTTTAATATAAAGTAATTAATAATGGATTATTACAGGTATTTCTAAAATAATGTTTTATGTAAGCGTTTGTTCTTGCGATTCATTGTCTAAAGAAGAAGACTGTTTCTGTATCAATTCATAATTTCCATGGAGAGATAGTTGCCTTCTTAAAAAATACTTCATTAAAAAAGTAGGAATACTTGCAACAGAAACACAGAAGAAGCCGTGCAGTGCGCACATTTTTTCATGCCAAAAATAACAAAACAAAACTAGGTAGTAGATCTTGTGATAGAAGATAATGCACATATCTTTGAAAAGAATACTTGATGGATGGATATTTTGATGCCTTTCTCGCTCTCTTCTTTCACCAGCCTGTTCCTCAAGGGAAGACAACAACGGTGACAGTCCCCTTTTATTCTCTACCCCAGCGACTGTCGTAAGCTCAAAACCACAAGATGTTATCGGCCTTCACAGTGGTAAGTTTCACATTAATATATAGACTTAGATGTATGTAGTATATGTACAATTGTTAACATTGATACTATGTAGAAATGTACACTCTGCAACGCTGCAACTAAATGCAATGTGTGTGGATTACAGAAATAAAATGTTTTCTTTTAAAAACACACGCCAACGCTTAATCTTCCGAGTAGTTCTTTTTGAACTGGCAAGGGATTATAAAAACACATGTTTTTGTTTGTCAGGTTCATTGTAAAATTTACACTTTTTATTATATTTTTTCTTGTTTTGGTCTTCAGAAACTGCAAACACCGTATTTTTGTTAACAGAAAGGTAAGATAATATGTTTCTAATAAAAGGAATCGAAATGACATTTGTTCACCAGCACCGATCAGTCCTAACCTTTCTAAAAGCTAGATATCACCAAGGTAACGAGATTGACAAAATAGGAGATGTACGTATGGCGACGATTTGATTCGTAAATGATGTTAAAGAAACAGCTATTTACGTCATAGTAAACGAATGACGTTGTCTGGCTGTGGATAAATTATACTCTCCTGCAATTTTCCAGTCGGCGAATACTAAGTTAGTTCTGTATTGAAATTTGTGATAATCTTTCGTACGGGTCGTGAAGACAAATATGGACGCTACCTGAGACGAATTACAAAAACAAAACCCATCAAGTCAGCTGAGACTGGACAATCTACGTACATAGACAGTTGCATGTTAGTTTAATATGTATGGTTCACATTACTTAAATAACTTAACAATTCCCAAAGAGTCTGCCTTCTAAGTCGCTTTATTTGTAGTAGGATTGGGATATGAAAATTGATATATGCAGGAATTTTATAAAGTCAAGATATACTTAGTGTTGGGTGGATTTGCACAAAGAGTCGCCACGAAAGCATTAGTTTCTAAACCACATTTTCTTCTAAAAAGAGAACTGGCAACATTTAGATTTAACAGCATCAAACCTCTGTTTATAATAATCAAAAAATAATATTAGTAAACTAGAAAACTTTTAAATTCTTCAAGAAAAGTTCCATGGAAGAAAATAAAGTATTTGCGTGAAATATTTGATTTATAGAAAACGACAGACAGAATCATCCACGTATCTATAAGAATTAGTAGGATTTTGAAAAATCTCTTTTCTTGTCTCTCCGTTTTTATTTACCTTACTCAGAACTTCTGGAAATAATAAACTGGATATAATTATTAATCTTATTCATAACATAATAAAACAATAATAGGTGAAAATTTCCCTTCCAGATAATAAAATAACAATAGGTGAAAATATCCATTCCAGATAATAAAAGAACTTCTTAAAATTTTGTACAGAATTTCAACTTAGCAAACATGGTTAATTAAAAACCAGTTAAGGTAAAATTCCAAAAAATATGTGGTTCGGTAAGACACCTAACTATAAAAAGTACCTGATGATGACAAAAACCTTGTCGAAACGTTGTACATTTGCTTTTGTGTTAAACTTATACTAAAGTTTTTCTTCATTACCCATTCAAGCCGTCTCCAACCATTATTAGTCTCAAAGTAGGTTCCTCGTCATCGAATATAAAAATATAAGTTGTTTTAGTTAGCTAGGTAGTTATTTGTCTGTATACCTATCTAAATAGCTAAGCTATCTACCTATATGTTTTTCTATAAGATAAATAAAAAATTAGGAATTTAAAAACCTGTCAATAAGGATTCTAAAAAAAGTAAGCAAATAAGGTTGGAAATATTGCAGATATTATTTACTCAAACTACAAACCCCTATTTTGGCTCCATGCTTTACCTAGAATTACATATCGTGAAGTCCAATTAGGGATTTGTACTTTGAATAAATAATGTCTACTGTATCTTCAGCCTTGTTCCCTTACTTTTTTTACTATCCATATTTGCATGTTTTTAAATTCCCACCTTTTTATTTATTTTGTTTGTCGGTTTTTTTATATTCAACTTTTGGCGAAAGATTACGTGATATGGTAGCTAGCTTTATACATTGTAATGATAGTAAACATAGCTAGTAGATAGCTCATACAAATTCATGATGATTTACTGTAACTATTGACTATTTGTTCGCATTATTTCGAGATGTAAAATGTTAAGCTACGACTGGAGATTGTCATGGAAATTTGTTTGAGAATATAGTGAGCATTCATAGTTTCTGTGTAGCTAAATTCTCTACATATAATGCATAGCATTGGGCAAATACTGTATATGCCTAGACTACGACATAACCTCCAGTAAGCGCGTATAAAATTTTACCAGTATACAAACAGTTTTTTCAAGTAAAACATATACGTCTAAAACATCGCTTCAAATAAATCTTCGTGTCTTTTAAAGTAACTATTCTATGAATGTGTTTAGTAAAATTTAATATTATGTGTACTGATTTTTTTTTACTCCTTTACTTCATTCATAATATAGGGGTTGGCTCCCTAAAGACAACCATTGTATAGCGTACAAAGCATTAAGTATCTACATGTTACATTCATTCAATGTTCAGCTATTATTGGCTGGCAATTCTTGTTTCACCCTGTACTTAAGTTTTTTAAAGAAACACCAGATATTTGTAAAAAAAAAAACTAAATTCAAAGGGTAATGATAACATCGCTTACGCATCGTCGATGGGTAGCTAAACATAAAACAGCAGTCCATGTGATTTCTTGTAGTAGATATGCGTATTCTACAAATTTTGTAAAATTTTAAATGCTTAATCACAATAGCTTGCATAAAATTGTAATCACCAATATTTTATCAATTTGGCCGCAAATTTTTATTTCACATCATTCTGTCGCAATTCGTTTTTCTGGTTTTTTAGCTGCATCCTTTTTTTTTTACAGTTGCGCTATTTTTGATTAGATATTTGTTATTCTTATTTTTGGTTTTATTAACTCTTGAAACAGAACACTTTCGGGGACTCTGCACAAGTACATCTAGTATATGTGTATATATATCTGTCTGTATATAAATTCATGTATCTCGATGTGTGTATATATAATTAAATGTAAATTCACGAGAAAGAAGAAAAAATCGCAGCCACCATACAAATATCCAACACCAGAGTACAAATCATAAGGTGGAACATCATGTGTTGTTAGAGGTACTGGCGGAAGTAACAGATTCTTTTCATAAACATATTATTTCTGGAAATTTGGATATAATTAAAAACAATTCTTTGAGGAAAAATGATAGAAAAAGATGCTAGATACAGAATAGCTACAAAATATAAGAAAGTAGATATTCTAAGTTTGATAAAGAAATATGTAGATGAGTATATTTTGAAAATTAATTATTATACACATTATTCTCCAAATTGTTTTGTAGAATGGGGTTATTATGTTATTAATAGAATTTAAAAAATTAGCTTTTTTAAATTTAATTAAATATTCAATAGATTTAAGTTTTTTTTTCAGTTTAAAGCTAAAATTTAAACAGAAATATAGTATTGTACCTATCAATAAGGCCAACTGTAAGTTTGGCTTTATTCGTAAATGTTTTTATGCACAAATTGTAACGAATGAGATAAAAACTACATAAACTTTTAAATTGCAAAATAAATGTAAAGAAGATATTATTAACAACTTGTTGAAAGCTTTAAACAAATCCACATACTGAATTACCATATATATATGCAATACCTAAATTACATAAATCTCCTATTAAATTTCGTTTTATTTCTAGTTCAGTAAATACTATAATGAACCAACCTAAGTTTTATTAAGTAAATTACTGAATGAATTATTTGTTAAATTACAAGATAATACAAATAATACACATGATTTCTGGATAATTAAAAAAACTTTAGAAAATATAAATAAAAAAATCAACAGATACAATACAAACTTATAATTTTACTACT